AGCTTTATTGAGGGAAGTGCCGCTAGTGGGGTAGTCACATATGTCTCGTCGGAGCTGCGCGAGTGCTTTCGTGAAGCGCAGGAGCGCGTTGTGATCGAGGGCAGGGCATTACTGGTCACGCGCACGGGCGACGCGGGCGATCTTGCGATTGAACGCGCACATGCCGAACACTTGTGACGACATTTTTGAGTACAAACGTTACTTGCGTGCTACTGAGCGCGCGCTGCCGCCTGCTGCGCATTGTACGTCGATTATCCTGGGGGACTGGGACTCCGTTCGCACGGAGGACGGCAGGTTCCTGGGGGGCGGTACCTTTGGCCCAGGGGGCCGCTCTCAGTGCGATGCCTTCCAGGAAATCTGCGGAGACTGGTGCGAGCTGCACCGGCCGGGCCCCGCCGGTCGGGACATCAGGGGGGGGGGGGCTCTCCGCAGTTTCTCGAGGCTTGACCGTGTTTACACCACCCTTCCTGCGGGCACTCTGAATGAGACGGTAACCGCGACCGCCGTGGGTACTCTGACTCATCCTGGGGCTTCCTCGGGCCATATTCCTGTTGCGGTTTCTCTGGCGCTACCTGCAGCCACTGGGCAGTTCTCGATTCCCAAGTGGCTCAGCATGCATGCGGAGCATAGACGGATGGTCAGCGAACAACTACAGACATTGGTCTTACCGAGAAACCTAGAGGAGAGAGTACGTCGAGTGAAGACCCTCTTTTGCCACGGTACCTACTGAGTTCCGTCAGTCACTCCAGCCCAGACAGGCCTCGAACGATGCAGAGCGACTCCATTTTGCGCTCCTTGCATCATATCGGGGATGGAGAGGGCAGCAGTGGCACTTGTGCCTCCGCGCGCTGCGTTGTTTTGATGCTCTTTACCGCTACTTTGATGTTGACCGTGGAGTTTGCACTGGCCTTGATGGGTTTCATTCTCTGAGCGTTACTCTGAAGCTTCGGTGGTTCGATCGCGAGGAAGAGGAGGTGGAACATAGCGGTGAGGTGGGGGAGGTAAAGGGTTGGCAGAAGAAGAGGCTGGTGGCGCTGAGGAGGGCGTGGGCTTTGATGAAGAGGCACGCGGGGCCCCGCTGGGTTCTGGACGAGGGGCATGCCGCGCCCGCGCCCCGACATCGCTGCCAGCACCTTGGCGGCACACTGGTCTCGGGCGTTCGCATATCAGGAGCACGATGCACAGCGCTGGCCTGCCACTCTCGAGCACGTTCAGCGTTGCGAAGTTTGCCCGGGCCCCCGCGGTGGCGTCTCGACCATAGCGAGTTCTCTCGTAGAGCGCGGCGCAAAGGTCACTCCGCCCCTGGGTCCGACGAGATCCCGCATGGCTGCTGGGCGGCCCCCGAGGCGATCGATATTTTATTCGAGGCCTACGAGCGCACCTACGATTATGAGGGTGATTGTCTGCCGAGCGAGTGCCGCACTAGCCGCGTGGTCTTCCTGCCCAAGGGTGACGAACCTTCCGATCAGGGGTCGTTTGTCTCGCGGGCCCCTGGAGCGGCTCGGCCCCTTTCCCCCTCGAACACGGATGCGAAGATCTGGTCTGGCTCGTTCTGCGTTGGCCTGAACGGCGTCGCCCCACGCGCGGTGACGAGGCGACGGCGCGGGGGAATCCAAGGGCGCAATATCCTGGATAACTTTGCGGGGGTCGAGGAATGGGGTCTCTTGCAGCACATGAGGGGCCACGATAAGGCGGGGGTGCTCTTCGCGGACTTCCAAGCTGCTTTTCCTTCGATTTCCTCGGCGTTGACCTTGAAGGTTCTCCAGGCCATGGTCATCCAGGCCATGGGCGTTCCGAGGCCAACGATTGGTTTCTATGAGCCTCTGTATATGGACAATATTGCCGCGGTGAGTTTCGCTGGGGGTTCTGAGATCAGGTCTGACATTGGACGGGAGTTCCGCCAAGGGGGCCCAGCTTCAATGACCCTGTTCGCGCTTGCCCTGGGCCCTGTCTTGCGGTGGATTCGGTACATGCGGACCCCTAGACAAGAGCTTGAACTTGCGCATGCGGACGATTGCTGCTTCGGCCTTCAGAACATACTCGCGGATGCGATGCCTACTTTATTTCTGTTTGGTCTACTGTCCACTGCCATTGGTATATCTCTGAATCTCGGGAAGCGCTATGTCTCGGTCTGCGGCTCTCTCTCTCTCTCTCTCTCTCTCTCTCTCTCTCCCTTGCGAGCACCTGTCGGAGCACGTGCGACGGAAGGGGGGGCCGTTTCCACGCGATACGGCTTGCGACTCACGTCATGTATTTCGGTTTCTGGGCGGGCCCGACGGCACACACAGTAGCCTGGCAAGAAGTTGTGATAAATTTCTGGCAACGCGTCCGTCTTCTGCGCTCTCTCTCGCTCGGGCTGCCCACCGCCACCCGGCTCTTCCATTCGAACTGCCTCTCTGTGTTGCAGTATCGAATGCAGCTTGTCAGAGTCACCCCTGATATCTTCCGACAGCATCGAGAAGCCCTACAGATCCTGACAGCAGGTCCCAGACATGCACTGAACCATTGTGTACTAACGCAGCTGAGGCATCTTGGGGTATCTATGGAATTCGTGGGTCCTGGGATTATTGACAAAGCTATTAAGTTTCGTGTACTGTCGAAGGGTCGGGCGCTAGACAGCGCCCTATATGCGTTCGAGGAGCTCACCGCGGGACTTCTGGACGATGGTCTTATTCCCGGGCGAACGGGTTCTGTCTGGCGCAGGAACTCCATGACTCGCAGCACCAATGCCGACGCCGCCCGCGTACTCAACTCTGGGACGACGTGACTGTAGGCACCTCCAGGGCCGCGCTCACCGTCACTTGCGCGGTTTAAGGTCTGACGCCGCGCCGCTTATCCAGTTGCAGACGCGCATTGGAAGATGGTTGACTGAGGTTTCTACCCCAATGATGTTGGTTTTACGTTCACGGCCTCGGGCAGTCGAAAGGGCGCCAGGCACCCACCTCACCACCGGTATTATTCGGGTTCTGTCCAGGGGAGTCTGCACCTCGGCCAGGTTTCATAGTGTGGATCGGGGGTGATGCTTCAAATGTGGGGGCTCGGATGGCTTTGCTTCACTATAAGTGTTGCCCCGAGTTGAAGCCCCTTGCTCTTCGGTGGCCCCCAGGCGTTTCAAACCTCCCAGGTCTGTGGCGGGAGCAGGTCGGGAGCGACGAAGGGTGGTTTCCGATGCCGTCACTACTTGGGCCTTGCTGGGGACAAGATCGCGATCTGGCCAGCGCCGTGATCATGGACGCCTTCCTGAAGACCCACGCCCACCATCGTCTGAACACCCGTGTTTGTCCCAAGGCCTTCTTCCATGCTCGGCCCCGGCTATCTGCGCATCGCTACAGGAAGGTTGCCAAGGTATTCCGTGGTGTGAGACCCACTCCGCCTCAACTGGTGAGTCAGCCTGACGGTGCGTGACTGCTCCCTCCTTGCTTCCCTTGTCTCCCTTCCCCATTGCCTCTGTTGTTGCGTCTCTCTTTCGCGGCGCGGGTCGTTGTGTTGGGTCCTTGCGTGCTGCCCCCTCCCCCTTGCCCCCCCGCTGCTGCCGTGGTCTTTGTGCCCCTCCCCTGTGCGTGTCCCCTGCCTGCTCCGCTGTGCTGTTGCTGCTGGCTGCTGCGTGGTGTTGGTTTGGGTTGGGGCCTGGGCCTTTGCCTTTCGCGGTCGAGGGTCGAGGGGGCGCGGCGACGCCGCGCCCGCCCGCCGCCGCCCGCCGCCGCCTGCAAGCCCCTTTCCTGAAGTACCCTCCGCCTGCTTTCTGAGAGAGCCGCCGTGGTCGGTGCTCGCCTGCTTTCCTGCCCCAGTGCGCCTGGTTTGTGGGTCTGCACAGGAGACGGATCCGCAGGCAGTCCAAGTCTCTGCGGGGGTGGACCCCGCTTGTCGGGCGACTGCAGCCCCCCCCCCTGCGCCAAGTGCGCCCCCCCCCCCCCCCCCCCCCCCCCCTTCGGTCGGGACCTCTCGCCCATTCCGTTGGGGGGGGGCGGGATTGGGCGCCCTCGCCCGCGCGCGAGGTGCCACGGCGAACTCGGCCTGCGGTGCAAGGGGGCGCTGTTGCCGAAGGGTTTCAGCCAGTGCCCTTTCCTCCCTCTTTCCTCCCTCGCTGCCCTTCTGCTGCTGCTGCCCCCCCCTCCTGCGCGTGCCTCGCCCATGGCAGGCCTGGCCTGTCGCGTCGTGGCCCCCACTGTTCACGGACGATGGTCACGGATATGGATTATTGGCGTGTGTCCCGCGATGGATATATAATATACATACATAAATAAACTCCCCCTCCTCCCCCCCGTCCGGCCCCCCCTCCTCCTCCTCCTCCTCCTTCTCCTCCTCCTCCTCCTCCTCCTCCTCCCCTCCTCCTCCTCCTCCTCCTTCCTCCTCCCTCCTCCCCTCTCCCCTCCTCCTCCTCCTCCTCTCCTCCTCCTCCTCCTCCTCCTCCTCCCTCCTCCTCCTCCTCCCTCCTCCTCCCTCCCCCCCCCCCCCCCCCCTCCTCCTCCTCCTCCCTCCCCCCCCCATCGTCCTCGCCATTATCCTCCTCCTCCTTCCTCCCCCCCCCTTCTCCTCCTGCACCTCTTCCAGCAGCCGGGCGAAAGCAGCTGGGCGATAGCAGCCGGGCGAATCCAGCCGGGCGAAACCAGCCCGGGCGAAGCCAGCGTCGGGCGAGACTGGCCCGGGCGAAACCAGCTTGGCGAAACCAGCCGGGCGAAACCAGCGGTTGCCTAATTCGCCAACCCGCCAACCAATTGCCCATGCAACCGACTAGTCATCTAGAGCCGTGAGACAGCCAGCAGACTAAGATAAACCGAGATCTATGTGTTGGTTTGTATGGTTCGTGTGATTTAAGGAGCTCGCGCTACGGATGGTAAACGACATGATGAGGTTGAGTGGTGATGGCACGCAACAGAAAAATTGGCATGCATAGCAGGGTATTTTGAGACAAGCGATCGTGCAAAGCCACTCTGGCTCTACATCACCTGACCTCATAGTTTCATGCACTGGTGAGGGAACTTATCGAGTGACGGTTCAGGATGGCCCATGTTGTAACTTGGCTGTTAGCCTTTATTTCTGCAAATTCTTTGGGCGCCAACGGTGTCAAGCTGAATGTGTCAGAATATTACCCTCGCAAACCAATACCCCTGGAAGCTCGAGAGGGCGTGGTAGGCAGCCAGTGCTACGATGAAATGAAGCCTGGGCTGCCCGTTTTGGCGTACTTGCGCAGGGCAGGGGGCATGCCATACAAGGCTTTGTGGGAGCGGACTTTCCTCAAGGAATTATTGCGGGATGTCGGCGACGTGCTGATCTGTGATATTCACGGTAATGCTGGTGAGGTGCAGGAGTTGTTCCGCCGGAGTGGAGATAGCCCCGTTGGTTTTATAGTGGCCGGGTATCCACAGCAGATGGCATTGGTAGACCTCGAGGAGCCCGTCCAGAAGAGCGCGAAGAAGTCCCGGCCTCAGTTGCTCTTTGCCATATTTATGGTTCAGCGTGTGTCGGTCGTGTTGTCGTCAATGCTCTCCCGCTACCGAGGCCTTCGCGTTTTCGTTGCCTCCGCCCCCGCGCGCCTTGCCTCCGCTTTTCAACTCTGCAGTACGACGTGCAGCGGACAACGAGTTTCGAAGCAGAAGACGATTGCGGTGATTAATTTCGGCGGGCGTGATTGGAGTTGTCGGCTTGGGCTGGAACGTCACAGATGTCTTCATTTCGGCTACCCCAGCTGCTCCCCAAGACGTTTCGTGGCCACCGCCCGCCCACGCAGTTCTCGCAAACGTGGCCACACTCGGGGTGTAGGGGCCTCGGGGGCTCCGGGGGAGGCCAGAGCCGCATCTGGAGCGTAGAGAGAGAAAGTTTGACAGAAGCTTCCCACGGGATTTCATGGGTCATCAGGGGTCGTCGGACCCCCTTGAGGGTTCCCAGGAGCGTCTCAAGACCAAAGCGGATGTGTCTTGGGGTGTCATGGGACAATTTTGAAACAAGGAGAGAGGAGGGAGGAACGGGAAGGAATGAGGAGGGCGGAAAAGGAGGAGGAGGAGGAGGAGCAGGAGAAGATGAGGTGCAGGAGGAGGGAGTAAGAGGAGGGGGAGTGGAGCGGGAATCCACCAACACCGCCGTCTCCAGTCATCAACAAATTTCTCATTTGTCTCAGCATATCGGTGGTCGGTGCGTTCGTTCACGCATTTGCATGGAGAACGCAACCAGGATGGTATCCCTCCAGATGCTCTCTGGAGGTTTGTGCCTTGCGACCCTGATCCAGTATGGTGTTAGTCAGGGTGCGGGCACCCCGCACTGGTTGTCACCATTTGGTATAGACGACGTCGCTGAGGATGTAAGAGGCTTGACCTAACGAATGGCCGACGGAAAGGGGGATGAGAAGCAGGACGAGCAGTAGGAGGGGAGGGGGATGAAAATTCGGCCAAGAGACTTCGCAGATCTCGGGAGGGCAGTGGAGCTCCCTGCATTGGAGGGGCGTGTCCCAAGTGGCCCCTTTCACGGTATGGCACCATCTGAAAGGTAAGTAATCGAAGTCCGTTGGCTCATCATCGTGCTTCATGCATCCCCACACCCCCTGATCCTTCCTCGACTTCCGCTGTGAATATATATATATATATAAATATACTTAGATTCAGATATGTATATATATATGTATACACACTTATCCATACGTATAAAGATATGCGTGCATATAATACATAATATGTAAATATATGTTTATATATTACACCCGCGCAAGAAATCCTGGCGCCTGGGGCTGGGGCCCCCAGCGCGCATGGGGGGACTGGGGCCTCCGAGACCGCTCCCAGAGCACCCCGGAGGGGCCGTGGAGCCCCCAGATTGCCCCAGAGAGCTCCAAGACGCTCCCAGAAGCCCCTGGGGGATTTCGCCCAGCCCCTCCAAGACAGCCCAGATAGCCCCAACGTGGCCCAAGATGGGCTCCAGACCGCAAATACACAGCCCAAGAGCCCTCCAAGAGGCCTCAAGATAGTTCCAAGAGGCGTCCCGAGAGAGCCCGAAGAGGCCGAAGAAGCCCAGATCTTTAATTTCCATTGTTTTTGTTTCTATGTGTTTCGGTGTCTCGCGCTTTCGAGCTTCCGACGCTCCACGACGGCCGACGACGCCCCCAAGACCGCCCCAAGACCGCCGAAGAGGCTCCCAACAGAGCCCCAAGACGGCCCCAGGGAGCACGAAAATTGCCCGGAAGGAGCCTCGGACGGCCCAAGAAAGCCCCAGGACCCCCCAGGGGGTGCGTCCACATGCGTCCCAGGCGTTTATTCCGGCACACACACCCCACGGTTCGTCCCATCTCCCTCGCAGTATTCGCAATGTCATATGGTTGGGTCTTTCGCCAGGTTAATTCAAATGTGCCCCGTGCTACTTCTTGCACAACAGACCATCATTAAGGCCCCCGTCACCATCGAAGAAAGCTCCCAGGAAGCCGTCGAGGGCCCCAAATCGGCGAACACCTAAAGGGAATTGATGAGTTTGTGGTTTCCGCATTACCCCTTCTATACGCTTCCGAGGCTTGCGCAGGGACTCTAAGAAGGTCGCTCGATGCACAAGGCACTTCAGACATTGATATTCCATGCGTTAGCCTGTTGAGCCTGGCTAGAACTTGAGCGCGCGCCATGGTTCTAGTGTGTTTGTGTGTATGTATGTGTATATATATGTGTATATATATATATGTGTGTGTATTTCTTTTCAGGCTACAATTAGCAGTCGTCTACTTGTCCTCCTCTGCAGACGCATGCTTGAGAATTGCCCTTTCTTCCCCATGCATTCAATGTCCCGCGACATATGTCTTTCAATTTCACCAGATGTGCATTACAACTCCTCGTTCGCCTTCTCTGCCTCGTTAACCAGCTGCATGCGGCAAACCCCTGCCAGGGCGGCAGGGCAGCAGGGCAGCGAAAAGGAGCTTGAGTGTAAGACCTGAACAAGCGCGGGTCCTAAGACCCTCATTCCTGTCCGCAGCTTCTTTGTTAGTGTCCCTCATATGTGCGGATTGTTGACGGCGTTCGGGTCCGAAGGGCGGACGGGATTTCGGTTATGGTCCGATCACATGTGTGTTGTTCCGATGTCTTCCGATCTTGTTTTCGCAGATCCGATCTCGGTGATTCGATCTGATAGGGGGGTGGCCCTGTGTAGGGGGCCCTTCGGATGTCTCAGAACCGTTTTGCACGGGAGTGTTCTATTGAGTTCTTTTGAAGAGGGCCGGCTGAATGTTCTGAACGTCTGCACGGGTATTGGAGTTGTCTTGGAGACCTTTCGGATCGTCTAAAGGAATGATCGGGCCGTCTTAAAAACGTTATGAGTTCCTCCTTGGGGTCCCGGTGTTTCTTGGGGCTACGTGAGATTGCTCCTGACTCTGAAGTTGGAAAGTTTTTGGAGCAATAAACATATTCCTCACACTTTTCATGATGTATTGTTCCCACGGCCTGGCGGGGGGCCTTCTTGGGCGCATCTTGGTGGCTTCGGGCAGCTTCGTGTGTGTATGTCGTCTACTATGGGCACACTGGAGCCTTGGGTCGGTCGCTGGGCTGTTTCGGGTTGGTCTTCGGGCATATGGCACACGCCTCGAAGAGAAGTAGGGCCGTCTTGGAGTAGATCTGGAGACCGAAAGGACGCCCCAGAGCAAAATTGTGCGGCGGGTTTCGGATGATGCTTGCGCCGAAGGGGGGGGGCTTTTGAAAAACTACAGAAGCCCTGCTCCAGACAGTCAACCCGCATTCGATCACTCCAGAATTTGGCAAGCGCGGCGGCAGAGTATCTCCCTCGTCCTCTCACTCCTCCTCACCCTCTTCCTCCTTGTTCACGATCCACATGCGTATCCATTTCCTTTCAGCGATTGCACAAGATGTAGACGTGAACAAGACCGTGTGAGATAGCAGCACGTTCATGACAGCATGATGGAGTTGCATATTCCAGCTCGTGCGTAGATTGTTATGCTCAGGCCAGTTGTACTGTTCCACTTCTCCGACGAGAGTGGCAAGTACAAGCCGACTTACATCTACCCGAGGATCATGCCCCACGATGGGCTGGTCTTCCGGGGCTCCCAATCAAGCACGCCCGTGCCCCTGCCCGACGAGCGGACATCCGTTCGGCAATGTGCCGCCCACGACTTGCCAGCGACTTGCCGTGCGAGTTGAGTTCCTGCGGTGAATCCCAAGCAGCGAGCATCCAAAACTTTCAAGCCAGATCATTGTCACATTATTCCGCCTCCAATTCTTCCCTTCTCTCCCTCATCTTTGTTCCTGTCATCCTCCGCACCGTATTCCTCGGCCTCATCATCGTCCTCTTCCCTGGGCCAGCAGTGAGCTGCGAGCCAATTGGGCCGAAGAGTTTCGAGCACCAGATTGCCGATTCTGATCCCACGCGCGTTGCCGAGTGGTGGACGCTGTCACTCTTTTTTGTGCATTCCGTCCCCAACCCCATACGAGGAGGTGAGGAGGAGGAGGAGGAGGAGGAGGAGGAGGAGGAGGAGAGTAGGAGCTAGGAGCGATTCTGGAAAGGGAACCCCCTGATACAAATACGAATTGTCCACCGAAGCACAAGTATGAAACTCTCCACTTCATCTTCTCGCTGCCTTCCCTGTTAGCCCACTTCTCACCATCGCGGCGTCAAGGCCGAGGATTTCCCCTGCGCAGCTAGTCCGAACCAATCTGTAGCGGGGGAACGTGCTCGACGAGGGGGGGTCTTGCATCGGCAAGAGTGGGGTTCTCCCAGGTGTTGCGGCAGTACCAGTTCTGGTCGGAGTTGCCGGCTGCGCCCCAGACCCGCATCATGCCGCTCGGCTACAACATGCATCTCGATTTCCAGGCCCGTCCCATTCCTCTGCTCTTCCTTTCGCCGGAGAGCGGAAGATGGACCTCTTAGCACATTGCTACACTAAGCCATACGCCGAAGCGCGTGAGCGAAAAAGAAACAAAGTAGGACGCCAAGGTAGCGGGCATGACATGCAATGTATGTAAATAATGGTACAGATAATCGTTTTCACCATCGTGAATTGCAGGGTTTCCGCAGGAGTTCGGCATTCGATGGGTCCAGTTGGCGTTGCAACCAAGTGTGTTCCAGGCCAAATGGAGGGCCGAGGTCTTGGTCCCGCTCCTCTTCTTTCATTCCCCCTGACCCTTCTCCACATCCTCTCCCCACTACCCGCTCTCCTCTCACTCCGTCCTCCCTGACCCCTCCTCTCTCCGCCGCACTGGGCCCCACCCCCGACCCCCCTGACGTCCCCAGGCCGACGACCCCATTCCCGACCCGTGCCCACCTTGCGCTCGGTCGGCGTAACATCCGCGGCCGCAGCTTCGTCGCGGACGGCCTCCCCCCAGACGGTCCGCCCGGCACGCTCGTCGTTCTGCCGTGTTTTCTGCTGGCCCCCTTCGACCCCCCCACCCATCGCCCCCGCTCGCCCTCCCGCCCCTGCTTGCCGTCTCTGTCCTTTCCAGCGTGGCCGCACGCCCGCTTCGCCCCGCCAGCTGGGGCCTGCCGCCCGCTCGTCCGCCCCCCACCTCCTTCCCTCGCGGGGCCGCGGCAGGGCCTCGCAGTTCGCGCGCGTTCCGCTCGGAGCGGGTGCCGCGTCTGACGCAGGTCCTTCCCCTCCACATTCACACAGTATGAATACTATTCTCCTCTCTCCCCCGAAGACGCCAGTGAGGTGTCCTGGCCTCCTCCGCGTATTGTTGTTGTACACCAGATGCCGCCGAGTTGAGAATTAACAATTAACATGTGTTTTTCCAATCCGAACTTTTTCAGTCCTTTCAGAATGGCGCTCCCGTTGCAGCTTTGGCTCCATTTTCTTTTCTCAGCTCTCCCAAATCATGTGCCCGTTGCAACGCCGACCTCATTTAATTTTTCTGTTCTCCCAAATCGTGCTCCTGCTGCAGCGTTGGCTCCAGCTCTGCGCTTCTAGTCCTTCCACATCACGCTCCCACCGCAGTGTTGATCCCATTGTCGCGTCGCGGTGCCGGTCCTTCGAAATCGTCGTACTCCCGCTGAAGCGGTGATCTCAGTTTGCGTTTCCCGCTTTCCAAACCGTCTATTGTCATTTCCCGTCCTGTGTCATTTCTGGTTTCCCTCTGACGCAGTTGTCGAAATTAATCGCGTTCTAGACGCGACGACGTCGGCTGTGGCCGTGACCGTGCTATTCCTTGCATCGCGTATTGCCTTGTTCGTTCCGTAACCCCTTTGGCTCAGACCGTATCGGCTCGAGCCCACCCCTGCTCAGGTGCGGCGCTCGGGCCCGGGTGATGGGGCTCGGCGGCGGGGCGCGGGCGCCGCGGGCGCCGCTGGCACAGCTGGAGCCGCGGCCGCCCCTGGCGGCCGCCCCCCCTGGCTCCCCCGCGCCGCGGGCGCGGGCGCGGGCGCCACGCGGGCGCCGCGGGCGCCGCGGGCGCCGCTGGCGCCGCGGGCGTCGCGGGCGCGCGGGCGCCCGCGGGCGCCGCGGGCGCCGCCGGCGCCGCGGCCGCCGCGGCCGCCGCGGCCGCCGCGGCCGCCGCGGGCCGCCGCGGGCGCCGCGGGCGCCGCGGGCGCCGCCGGCACCGCTGGCGCCGCGGGCGCCGCGGGCCGCTGCCGCCGCCGCCGCCGCCTTCGCTGCCGCCGCCACGGCTCCCCCCGGCGGCGGCGGCGGCCGGCGGCGCCGCGGCCGGCGTCGCGGCTGCCCTCGCGGCGGCCGCTGCTGCTGCCGCTGCCGCCGCCGCTGCCGGCACCCCGCCGGCGGCGGCGGCGGGGGGCGCGGCGGCTGGCGCCGCCACCGCCGCCCCCGCGGCTGCCTGCGCTTCGGCCGCCGCCGCTCCCCCCCGGCGGCGGCGACGGCCGGCGGCGCCGCGGCCGGCGTCGCGGCTGCCTTCGCGCGGCCGCTGCTGCTGCCGCTGCCGCCGCCGCTGCCGGCCCCCTCCCATACCGGCGGCGGCGGCGGCGGGGGGCCGCCGCCGCCGCCACAGCGGCCGCCGGCGCCGCGGCCGCCGCTGCTGCCGCCGCCGCCGGCCCCCCTCTGGCGGCGGCGGCGGCCGGCGGCGCCGCGGACAGCCCCACCGCCAGCCCCGCGGCCAGCCCCACGGCCAGCCCCACGGCCAGCCCCACGGCCAGCCCCACGGCCAGCAGCAGCCGCAGCGGCAGGGCAGCAGCAGCAGCAGCAGCAGCACAGCCGCAGCAATAACAGCAGCAACATAACCCAGCAGCTGCAGCTGCAGCAGCAGCAACCGCAGCAGCGGCAGCAACAGCGGCAGCACCCCCCACCACAGCCACAGCAGCAGCTACAGGTGCTGCAGCAACAGAACCCCGCCGCTGCCGCAGCAACAACACCCCCCGATGGGAGCCAGCAGAAACCAAGAGAAGACTCAGAGGTACCCTTGCTCCCTCAGCAGCAGCAGCAGCAGGGCAGATTGCTGTCCCACCTCGTGGCATCGCACGCGCAGGGATCAGGCGCCCCCCCCTCGTGCACGTTTCGTCTACACGGCGCTCTCTGTCATCAATTGCAGCGCTGAGAGCAGAGGCGGGGGCACTATCCATCACTGATGGGGCTCTCGCAGACACACTTCCTAACAAATCGTGTTCTGCGGCGGTTAGCTGCCCCCCCGCGCCAATGAAAGGTCGGCGTATCACAGATGGGGCTCTCGCGGACTCACGCTCCACCGATCGCGTCACCTGCGGCGATTAGCTGCGCCCCCCGTGTCAACGAACGGCCGACGTATCATAGATGGGGCTCTCGCTGACGCACTTTCCACCAAATCGTGTTACGCGGCGGTTTGCTGCATCCCCCGTCGCACCGTCGGTCAGCTCCCCCACCACTCTCAGCGGCAAGCGCGCCCACGGTCATCAATTGCAGCGCTAAGAGCAGAGGCGGGGGCACTTTCCAATCATGGATGGGGCTCTCGCAGACACTTTCCGTCCATTGTGTTCCGCGGCGGTTAGCTGCACCCCCCGTGCCAACGAACGGTCGATGCATCATAGACGGGGCTCTCGCAGACACACTTGCGGCGGGCCGGATGGGGGCGGAAGGGGCAGTTTGCAGCTCCAGCTATGTTGCGCAAGGCTGTTGCGCATGTACCCCCCACGTGGCGCGTCCGACGCTGGCACGCCCCAGCTCGGGCTGCATCGGCGTTGTTCCGCCACCAACCCCCCAGATTTCTATGTGTCTTCTGCGGCGATTAGCTGCACCCCCCACACGTGTAGACGTTCTCGGCGTGCAGCTGCTATCAAGTTACGCGCATCTTGCGGCGGTTAGCTGCGCCCCCCCTCTCCACGGCAAGGCGCAACTTCAGCTGTGTTGCGAAATGGTGCGGCACATGGCCGTTCAAGTGGCGCGTCCGACGCTGGCGCGCTCCAGCCCGGGCTGCGCCGGCACTGTTCGGCCCCCCCCCTTCTGTCTACGTGACTACCGCGGCGGTTAGCTGACCCCCCCCACGTGCATACGCTCTCGGCGTGCAGCTGCCATCCAATTACGCATCTCTCGCGTCGGTTAACTGCACCCCCTTCCCCACGCCAAGTCGCACTCTGCGGGCTGCAGGAGCCCTCTCGCAGCCGGTCGACACTGTGACTTCGGAAGGAAGGCGGTGTCCACCGAGGTGAGGGTGACTGCGACGGGTTGCCTTGTCAGAGCGATACCTCGCCCGCGTTTCTCGGCGCACCTGTCCTTTTCCACCGGTGCCGACTCGTCCGTCGGCCGCCGCCAGCCCCGACAGTTCTGGAGTGGCGTTCGTTGGCTGCGCGCTGAGTGGTCCAGCCTTCAGCGCCGACGGCCCTTGCTTTCCACCGCCAGCAGCCGGCCCCCCGGGCTGGTGCCAGTTGTTTGTCTGGGGTGATGCTCGGAGCTTGGCGCCGCAAGGGCGACGTCCCGTAGCACTTGAAACACTGCGCGCTCGTTCTTCTAGACCGGGCGGCGCCCGGGTGCGTCACTGCGAGTGCGGAGCATTTTGCTCAGTGCGCGTGCACCGCACCTCTTGTGTGCGATTGGCCTGCACCGCCGCCCCGGACATGCTTGCTGCCGCCAGACCGTAGTCGCGCGGCCGCCGACCAAAAAAGCATTGCCTTGTTCGACATGCGATTGTGCGAATAGAGAGATATACGCAACGGGGGGGGGGCGGTAGGGCGTCAGATATGACGCATGCGCACCTAGCTTGTCTCTCCTGATCTCTCGCCCCCCCGCCCTTCCTCCTTGCTGCCTCTTCCATCCGTCCTCCTCTCCCCCTCCTCCTGCAACCTCCGACAAGGATCCCGACACCAAGGCTTGGTCCACGGCCGCGCGATGGGCCAAGCACCTGGCAAAGTCAAACAGAATTTAACAAAGCAGGTTGCCCAGCTCGCGTCGTGCGTCGCGCAATGTTCTACGTGAGCTGATGCCAGAAAAGAATCGCAACATTGTGCGTATTTTCGCTGAGGCGGCCAATTCCATGGTCAGAGTCGGTGTTGATTTGAGAAAGCCCGATCATCTGGATGCCCAGTCGGTCAACGTTTTTTTGTCGGAGCGGTTTCGCCGTGGTTTGCAAGGCCGATTTCGCCGAGCGTATCAAGTTTATTTTATCGTTTCGCTCATTCCGCCGGCCCTGGAGCCCTCTTTAAAGCCTCTTGGGGGCCTCTTGGGAGTCTCTTGGGGCTCCTTGGCGGCGTCTTGGGGGCCCCCAGGGCCTCTTGGGGGGCTTTGGGGGGCCGCTTGGGGCGGGAGTGGGGGCAGTCGAATGCGGCTCCCCCCTCGGAGGCCACGATCCTCGTGAGGGGTGTCGAAAAATGGCCATCCCCTGGAGTGTTCTGGGGGCTTCTCCCGGGACCTTGCCGGGGGCACTTTTCGCCCGGGGGCCCCCAGGGGCCGCTCCGCGCGCGCG